AGCCGGGGGCGGGGAGCGGAGCGCTGAGAGGCGGGGAGAGCCCTGGGACCCGCTCGGAGCTGGCCGCTCTCCCGCAGTGTTTGTCGTGTTCTCCTTCATCTCCGCCGTCGACTTGATCATCTCGCTGGAGGAGGATGGCTACATCTCTGGCTTCGCAGAGGTCTTCGTCAGAGAGGTACCACCTCACCCCATCTCACCCCACCGCGGGCTCCCGCACGCCCCGGCAGTGCAGCGAGCAGCCCCCCGCACCCAGCTCAAGCGTGGATGCTGCTCCTGCACCCGGAGATGCTCCTGCCGCAGCGGGACCGTGCATGGAGCAGCCCCGGCTCCCGCGGTGTCCCGTGGGGAGGGGGTGTGGGAAGGTGTTTTCCCCCACCCCACATGACCCACTGTCTTCTGAACGGGCAGGGCGAGCCCTACCTGCGCACGGCACACGGCATCATGATCTGCTACTGGGACGGCGTCGTGCACTACGGGCTCTACCTCGCCATGATCGTGGCCATCGGCCGGAGGTGAGCGGGGAGGGCGAGGGGCAGGCAAGGCGGTTCCGCAGAATCACAGAATCACAGAATGGTCGGGGTTGGAAGGGACCTCTGTGGGTCATCTAGTCCAACCTCCTGCCGAACACCTACAGTAGGCTGTAGAGGACCTTGTCCAGGCGGGTCTGGAATATCTCCAGAGAAGGAGACTCCACAGCCTCCCTGGGCAGCCTGGGCCAGGGCTCCGTCAGCCTCAGAGGGAAGAAGTTCTTCCTCGTGTTCAGACGGAACTTCCTCTGCTTCAGTTTGTGCCCAAACTCCATGTGGCATCGTCATGGTCTGGGAGCTCAGAGGGGCTCGCAGGGGTTGGAGGATCCCGAGTTTTGAGGGATGGGGAGCTCTGAGCCCGGCAGAGGGGTCCTATCCTGACATCTCCGCAGAAAGAGCTACAGGAACCTGGGTCTCTTCTGGCTGGGCTCGCTGATGATGAGCATCGTCGTCTTCCTCCTTGGGAACCTGATAGGTACGGGGGTGCGGAGCGGGGCTGGGCTCCACATCCAGCCCTTCCTCATCCCTCCAGGCTGCCTCCATCCCTCTGTCTGCCCACGGGTTTGCTCCCGGGCTCCCGCTCCGTGGGCAGAGAGGAAGGTGCTGAGCTGGGGGTGAGCGGCACTGTTGACACTGGGCACCCAGCGCTCTGCCGTGCCTATCCCGTCCTCTCCTTCCCCAGGGAAATACAGCTCCGACCTCAGCCCTGCCTTCCTGCTCAACCTGCCCTACGTCCTCATCCCCGCCTGGGCTGGGGCGAGGCTCTTCCAGCAGCCCAAGGCGCTGCCGTGCTTCAGCCCCGAGAAGGTGAGCGGGGGGCCGGAGCGGGGAGGGGGCTCTGCTCCAGGACCCGTCAGCCTTACCCCCCTCCCGGGGCCAGACCACAGGGCGACGAGCCAAAAATGCAGGAAAAAATGCAGGAAAATGCGGGAAAATGCAAGAAAATGCAGGGAAATGCAGGGAAGTGCAGGAAAATGCAGGGAAAATGCATGAAAATTCAAGAAAATGCAGGAAAGTGCAGGAAAATGCAGGCAAATACAGGAAAATGCATGAGAATGCAGGGAAATGCAGGAGAAAATGCAGGAAAATGCAGGAAAATGCAGGGAAAAATGCAGGAAAATGCAGTAAAATGCAGGAAAAATGCAGGGGGAAATGCAGGGAAATGCAGGAAAAATGCAGGGAAATGCAGGAGAATGCAGGGAAATACAGGAAAATGCAGGAAAGTGCAGGAAAGTGCAGAAAAGTGCAAGAAAGTGCAGGAAAGTGCAGGAAAATGCAGGAAAATGCAGGGAAATGCAGGAAAATGCGAGAAAATGCAGGGAAATGCAGGAAAATGCAGGAAAACGCAGCGTTTCCCCCTCTCCCAGGTTGCAGAGGAGCAGCGCAAACGCCTGTACCAGCGGCCCCAGGACGCGGGGCTGGTCCTGCTCCTGCTCCTCGCTGCCCCGTTCACCTTCTTCAGGGGGATGGTGAGCGCCGGGTCCCTGCACCGGGGGGGCTGTGGGGTTCTGGGGGGCCCCTGGTGGTCCCGGAGTGGGTGCATCTGCCCCGTGCCCACCTCCCCTCCGCTCCCTGCGTCCCCAGGTGGTTTTGGACTGTCCCGCCGATTCGTGCTTCGAGTACATCTACACGCCC